AAGGTTTCCAATATCCCCTCATCCTTCTTTGCCTAAATTTCCTTCCTTCTTCCTTCTTTCCTCTCCCCCGTTCCCTTTCTCCCTTGCTCCCTCCCTTCCTTCCTGGCAGTGGCCAGCCTAATAATTGTGAGGTGTATTTTTTTTTGTTTTTTTTTCATTAATGGTAATCAAACCCAAGACCCTTGTGCATGCTAGGTAAATGCTCTATCACTGAGCTATTTGCCCAGATCCTTCTACTTTTTAAAATTTGACATACAGTCTTGCTAAGTTGCCCAGACTGACCTCAAATTTAATATTTTCCTGCCCCAGCCTCCCAAATACCTGGGATTAAAGGCACGAGCCACCCAGCCCAGCTTAAAAAAAAACCAAACTGATCCTCAAAAACTGTGCCTTTTAATTATAATGCTCTGTCCATTAACATTTAACATAATTACTGATATAGTTGGATGTGCTATTTTATTATTTGTTTGCTGTATCTTCCTTGTTTTGTGCTCCTTATTTTCTACCTTCTTTTAATTATTTGAATAATTTTTAAAGTTCCATTCTAATTAGCCTATTGTTTTAACTATACCTTTTTATATTACGCTCCCAGTGAGTGTTAAGGGATTAAAATATATGTAATATACATCTTTGACTTTTTCAGTTTAGCTACTGTTTACTGTTTTGTATAAAACAGAGAACCTTTACAACTCCACCCATTCTTCCCCACCCATTCCCTATGCTATAGTTGTCACTATGTGTTAGAGCTGCAAAATAATAAACCCAAAAGACAATGTAGTATTTTTTTTGCTTTAAACATTCTTTTGACTTTTAAAGAAATCAAATATTAAAAATCATATGTGTTTGCCCACATACTCCCTGTTTTGACATTACTTATTACTTGCTTGAGCCTGAATTTCCAACTGGTACTGTTTCCCTCCAAAGAACCTCTTTCAGCATTTCTTATGAATGGCACCAAATTCTCTAATCTGTCTCTCATCTGAATTTCACTTTCCTTCTGGAAGGAGATTGTCTCCAACTAAGTACAGAACTCTAGGTTGATAGGTGTTCTTTCAGAACTTTAGGGACCTGTTGCACTGTCTTACTCAGTTACATTCCTGCATGTGCATGTAACATGCCTAGTTTTTTGGGTGCCGTGAGGTTTCTAGGTTTTTAGGCCTCTTAGGCACAGATTTCTTAATAAATATATATAAACAAATAAATATAATCCCATTCAGGGTTCATCAAGCTTTCTGAATATCAAATATGTGAGCTTTACCAAATTTAGGAAAGTTTTTGGCCATTACGTATGTCCTCAACTGCTTGTGCTGTTATGTTCTGTGTTTCCTCTACTCCTGGGACTCAACTGCTTATTATAATTTTGATATTGTCCTGCAGGTCCTCGAGGCTTTATTAATTTTCAACTGTTTCTTTTTCTGCCTCAACTTGGATATTTATCTGTATTCAAGTTCACTGACTCTCTCCCTGTTATTTCCATTCTGCTTATTAAGCCAATCCAGTGAGATTTTAATTTCAGATGCTACCTTTTTCAGTTCTAGAAACTCCATTTGGTTCTTATTTTTGGTATTTATCTCTTAGTTAAGATTTTAAATCTTTTTTACAGCACAGTTTCTTTTACTTCATTGGCTAAAGTCCTCATCTTCTCATCTCCATGTCTTAGTTGTCTCAGGATTATTGTTTTACCTTTTCCTCTTGAAACCAGGTCATGTGTTCCTGGCTTTTCATCTGTCAGATGTCTTTAGAGGTATATTATATTATGGAGGTATATTGAATAGGGTACATTGTACAGTGTGGATAATCTGGATTCTCTTCTAGTCATCCAGAGAATGCTTTGTTTTTGCAGGCAGTGAACATGTCAGACTGAATTGAAAACTTAGTCCTTTTAATACTATCTTGGATCACTGTTCAGAACTCCTATCCTTAGCTAAGCTGCTCTGAGTTTGCCTACAGGTGTACATGGTTCAAAGGTCAGACAGATCATTGGGTAGGGTTTGTTTCTTACTTTTTGCCCAGCATTTGTACTTTTTATTTGTAAGAGGGTCAGGTCCAAGCCTATATGTTTGCTTCTCACTCTTGGGTGTTTGGTCACCTGTCCTGAAGGTAGGAGGCTTGCAAGAAGTGACTTAGTGACAGAGAGGAAGGTCAGCAGAAGAGGTTAAGGAATGAGGACCCAACTCTAAGCTGAGAGTAGAGGAAGCTGTAGTCAAACCTGCCCATGTGAATCTCCCTGGGAACCCATAATGATGCCACGGTCTTGGCAGCTTAACCAAGAAAAACTCATTTTTTACACAGTTCTGTAGGCTGGATATCAAGATCAAAGTGCAAGCAGGTTTGGTTTCCTATGAAGCTTCTCTCTTCTTGGCTTGCTGATGGCCATCCTTCCACTGTGTCTTCATGCAGTTATCACTTGGTATGTGCTGTGTGTGCCCTAATTTCTTCTTATAAAGATATCAGTCATAGTGAATTGGGACCTATCCCAATGACCTCATTCAGTCTTTATTAGCTTTAAAAGACCCCATCTCCAAATAGTCTCAGTCACACTAGCTGAGGATAGAACTCCAACATGAGAGACACGATTTCGCCTGCAGACCTCCCTTAGACAGGCTGCAAAGGGAAGAGGTGAGCTTGGGAACCCTATGTAGTGAACACACAGGCAGCAATTTCCATAAGTCTGGTCTCTTGCTGTCTGTGTGGGGCTCAATATGCTTTATTTCACTTTGTCTTCCCCACTATACAGGCTGGTGGCTATCATGATTCTCATTTTGCAGATGTGGGAATGATTCCAAATCACACCTGGAAGATTGGGAGAAATTGGCTAGATTACCACACACTGAATGCTTCTTCCATGTTAGCTGGCACTTTATAATGCAAGACTAACTCTTTGGTTTTAGATTAACTCAGTTGACCTATTAAATGGCTCCCACATTTATCTGTTCAGGCTTCCATGACAATGCCACATTCTGGACAGCTTATACTTAGTGCTTTCCAGTTCTAGAGCCTGGGAGTCCAAAGTCAAGAAACCAGCAGAGATAGATGCAGTGAGAACTTGCTTCCTGGTTTGCAGTCTTCTCATTGTGTCCTCCTATGAGGGAGAGAGACAGCAAGCAATTTCTCTGGCATCTCTTATTAGGACATAAGTCCTGTCATACCAGCACATATCAAGCTTATGACTTCATCTGACTCTAATTACCTCATCGGTCTCCAGGTATAGTTCTATTTGGGATTAAAGTGTCCACATATAAGTTTGGGGGACAATTCAATTCATAGCAGCCCTCGTGTTTCTCTTGTGTTCTGAAAGGAAACTGAGACTCAGGAAAACACAGGCACAGAGATAGTGAGTGGCATGGCTGGGTAACCCCTTCCCACAGTAGGAATCCAGCTGGGGTCTTGAACTCAGATCTTTTAAACTGGCTATGGACCTCAGAATCTCCTGTCTACAGTGATGATAAGCACTAATCAGGACAGTCCTTTTAACATCTGGGGGAGCAAACAGTCATCTGTTATACCTAAGGCCCCCAAAGTCTTACCACAAGGCAAGCAGTTCCCTCTCAGGTCCTCCTGGATTAAGAGCCTGGAGCATTCTAAGCACCTGAGAGGAAAAGCACCCTCTCAACCCCTGTCAGATGTTGCACATCTGAGTGGCTCTCAAGAGCATCCCAAGGTTCAGGGGCCGGTATTTAACAACCAAAGACAGAAGCCCATGTGGCTCTGTGACAGCTGTGGCTGTTGTAGAGTGTGTCCCCAAATGCGACACAGCAGCAAGCCAGGTAGACAGCCCACTTGTGTGCACATGGCCCATGCTGCTTCCTTTCCAGTGGGCCCCAGGGAGTGCCCAGGAGGGTCTGTAGAGTGTGGCCCGTCTTGCTCTGTGGCTTGACTTACATCCCATGTTCACAGCTCATCCTTCCTCACTGGGACCATGTTGAAATGACAGCCTCTAGAGGCCGTGTCTCATGTGCAGTGAGACCAGCTCTTCCAAGATGCAGAGTCAATGCCTGGAATGAGCAGAATTGGATTTTGGAAAGTTTGGCTTCCGTGTCATGTTAACGTGTCCATGATATCAGAGTGCCCTTGGAGCCATCAAAAGGTCTGGATAGAGACCTTAGGGACAGGGCGATGCCCTCTGTACACCAAAGGGGTAGACAGGCAAAAAGGCTGCATGGCATTAAAAATTCCCAGTACCAGGCTGCTGGCTCAGTGGCATTTATTTACACGTCAGGGGACATTTTACCCAAGTACAGCTACTTTTCCCCAGCTGTATTTAGCCACTATTTGCCTCAGTCACACTGGAGAACAGCCTGTGGGCCCATTAACCCCTGATAACGTATTTGATAAGCAAACAAGTTTAGAGAAGGATCACTCAACACCCTGTCTCTCAGAGCTCCCTGTGTTGTGAGGGGACCGGGGGCTCCAACTCCAAGCAGAGAGAACTGGCTCTGTCCTCAGTCCTGCCACCCCACAAGGGAAATGCCCTCTGCCAGGTATACATGCCCTAGGAAGAAAAGAGGGGTGCATGTGCCTCTTGGCATCTGTAACTGTAGCTCGGTGCATAGCTAAGAGTAGAGTCACAATAAGGTGATGTGCAATTATAGGGACAAAAATACCCCAAGGAAATCAACACAGGACTTATTAATATCGGACCTATAGGTGACAACTGTCAGACAATTGGTCAACAAGGGGCCTCGTGTCTGCATGATCCCAGCTAACCCGTTATGATCTTTATGAAGTGTCCTTCTGGGGGGTCCAGATCTTCAAATACGAGGGGAGACCCTTCCCTTTTATTAGCAGCTAAGCTCTTTATACTTTTACTATATTGCGGCAGGTTAGAAGTCTAAGCTTTATTGTCTTATGTTATTGAAAATCCAGATTCCGGCAGGCTTCTCCCTCAGGTCAAGCTTTGTCTGCGAATACATTCTCATTTTTCCATGTACAGAGACCGTCTGGAGAGGGGCAGAAAAGATTATGACTGTAATATACTTAAATCCAATTTATTTGCCTGGCCAGAAACTTCCACCCTCCACAATTGCTTCCTACCCAAGATGGTGTCTTTAATTCTTTCATGACAGGGAGAAATATGGGTCGGCAGCTTCCAGCAGGTACAGGCACAGCAATAGGCACAGATCCTGTAGTGGCCGGGCCAGTGGTGACAGGTGGTCCTGGGAACGGGGTCCCGCCACTGATCGAAGTTTCCCACTCAGAACTTCCCATTTGTTTAGGAGGCATAGATCTTCAGCCACCTGTTGTTTACTGGAAAAGAAATATGTTAATGAGAGAAGACAGGTTGTTGTCCAGGAAAAACCATCCCTGGCTTGTGAGCCTTGCTGCATCCTCTCACTTGCATTTTATTTCATCTGGGAGCGTCTGTATCAGCGGCCATATGGCTCCTGCCTGCTGTCCATACGGATCAGGGTGGTCCCCACCAACCACATTATGGTCTTTCTGAGCTTGTGTTGACATTTCCCTCCAAGACTTACCTCTGGATACAGGATGCATGTCTCGGAGGGAAATTATTTTTGGAGATTATTTTCTTAATTGGTGTTTGCTCGTTTTAAATGACGAAATGCGGAGACACCCCCAGGGTAGATGGAGAGGAATGGGCAGAGCAGCCAAGAGGGTTCCTGTTTGCTGTCCAAGCTCTCTCCCCACTCCCCCATCCCAGCTGAGTAGAGCTTCCTGGCAGCTGGGTTGGCCTTGAACTACCCAGCTAATAAGCTCAGGACTGCAATGCCCTCTTGATTTTTATGTGCAGGGCCTGCCTACACCCACTTTAGTGAGGCACAGAGGATGAGCATTAAGCAATGATTGTGTATGTTCTCTCCTATTAGACTGGATAGGGAGATGGCAAGGAGGGTAACCAGACAACAGCGACGAATTGTGGTCTCTGATCTCAGGGCAGGGATGCACCTGCCAGGAAGGGATGTGGAAATACCATGTAAAATGATCAACTCACCCTTGTTTGCCCGGGACACTCGGGTATTTGCAGTGAATGCTCCATATCCTCCCAGAAACCTTCCTTCTCAGATGGGGCAGTTTGTCACCATAGCAGCCAGGAATGGGACATAGGCCCAGGCTTGTGATGTTTTCTCCTTTCTGGATGACTTCATGAGTTGATCAGGGACCTCCAGAGAAAAAGAACCAAGAGGAGACACAGACAGGGAGAGGAGTTGGCTCTCACCATGATGGGGGCTGAGAAACCCCACAATCTGCTACTTGACAGCTATTCCAGGAACATGGGTGGTATGGTTCCTGTTCAAGCCCTATGAACTGAGGACTGGGGAAGCCCCTGTGTAAGTCTCAGCCTGAATCAGCAGGCAAAAGACCAAGAACAGCAATGATTTGAGGAGGAAAAGATGAAAGTCTTAGTTTGAGCAGAGAACAAATTTGCCATCACTCCACCTTTTGATCTAATGAGGCCCTCAGTATTTGGATGACACCTACTTGCATGGGTGAGGGTGAATCTTCTTAGTCCACTGAGTTAAATATCTTCCAGAAACACCCCCACACCTTGAGAAATGATAGCTTTATCAGCTATCTAGGCAGCCTGTCAAGTTGACACAAATTTTACCACCACACCCTGAAAAGCAGCTCAGTCCCTATTTTCTCATCTGTACTCTGTAGGCAACAAGGATGACTTCTATCCTGTCCCTGTTGAGCTGAAGGACTCTGTCCCATCAAGCCTGTTGTCACCCTGTCCAGAAAGAGCTCCCAGGACTGTGGCATAACATCTGTTTGTCCCCCACATAAGGCTAAAGAACCCTGATCCCCAATCTAGCATGGCAGGTCTCTGCTGGTGTATTTTGATCTCTCCAAGAAGAAAGTAACATCGAGGTTCCTTTTGCTAAACAGCTCAGGAGGTGGATTATTTTGTTCATGGACTCTGAATATTGGCATCAACTCCTTTCTCTATGTTGGAATAAGTATTTAGTGATTCTCCCTTGCCCCGCTCCACCCTGCCTGTCTCTGGATGGTATTCCTACTCAACAAAATAGAAGAGGAGCCCACCACAGTAGGGCAAAAGGGCAACAAGGGCCATGGAGCTTTGGGAAGAGATGCTGGCCTCCTTGCTCAGAAGAGAGTCCCTTGGGCCTGAGGCAATGTGCAAAAGGTGGGTCTCAGAAGACTCCACAGCTACACCCAGACCTCAGCAGACCTCAATAGGTGGGTGGGAGATGAGCATCATCCTAAGCCACTGCTGCTTTCCTTTCTCCCAAGGGCAGATTCAGTGAGATTTGCTCCACTTTTACTGAGGCCAGATTCCTGAACTGACATCTGGCGATAAAATGCAAATGGGCAAACACCTCAATACTGATGCTCTGGCTGCTGAATGCAGGTGGTTTCTCCAAACTTAAATCTTTAAAGATACTAATGGCTATTGCCAGTTTGACCCCAGAAAGGGAAGAAAACTGTAGTCCCTTCAACAGGTCTGGGAAACACAGCTCAGAGGGCAGCTCTAGGCAAGATCTAAGCGCAGAGTCATTGCTTAGGAGAGCAGTGAATGCACTGTCAGCAGGGGCATTTAGATTTTGCCAAGTCAGCCTCCAAAGCAATTAAAACACTTTTATCATTGTTACCAGTGATGCTGAGCATCTATTTTCCAACATCTTCACCAGCATACTTAAAGTATTTTTTTGCTAACTTGATAGTAGAATGATTTCTTATATATTTGATCTATATTTAACTTTGGAGTTTTAGCATATTTTACTGCAGCAAAAATGTGAGAGCAACCCAAGAAGATAGACGATATCAAGAAGATACTAGCTATGTGAATTAGTATTCATCTATTCAATATAATACTGATAAGTTATGTCCACAGGAAAGACCTCTAGGATATATAAATGAACAAAGTTGCAGGAACTTATTATTTTAATAGGTTATGCAAGCACACACATGTACATACACACCAAGACCCACTAGGCACACTCATACATATACACACATGCACACAGTACTCACACAAATATACTGATGTGCGCACACATCATGATCACATGATAGTCATACATATACATGCAATGTGAGGTACCCATGTGTGCACACACAGTCATGCATGTACCCACATGCATAAACTCTGTGCACTTTCATATGCACATCCCTAGGCCTAATGCTGTGGGCTTGAAATAGGAAAATTCAAGATGCGTTAGCCTGTATGAGAGTGATTGTCACTTCCTGGATTTGAAACTATCATGTGAGCTGTCAGGTATGTGGACGATCATTTTGCAAATGTTAACTACGTTAGAACATTTTGTTTATAGTTAAAAGTGCCTAAGAAAATACATTAGAAAGTGAAAAATCTCCTAATTTTATTAAATTAGAAAAGTTTGTGGATGGCAAAATAAATAAGTCCCTTTAGCTCAATTTTTTGGAAGCAACTGTGATTGATGTCACCAAGTTTTAGAAAATCAACTGACTGGACAGTGGAGTGAGTGCATTTGAGTCAGAGCCCTGAAACTCCACCATGCTGACCAAAGCCCCCTCAGTCAGTACCTTCCCCTCTACTCTCCTCCTGCTGCTGCCGCCATTCAAATGGTGGACATGCAAACTCTATCCTTTGCTGTTTGTTTTGTATCCACCTCTCAGTTCTTAGAGCTGTAGCTGCTCAATCTCAGATGCTGCTGTCATCTTTCCAACCAACGTTTCCCAAAGTCCATGTGCAACCCACATGGGAATCCAGGAATCAAAATAGGAGCAGGGAAGGAGATTCTAGGAAAGAGAGCAGACAGATGGCATCACTTGGAGGAAAAGAGAATGTGAACTGGATGTTAGGTTACACTAAGGAGTGGAGCCATTGATAATTTTGTTAGGTACAATAATATGTAAGTTATATCAAAACATTCTTACCTATAAGACACATTCTGAAGTACTTAAGGATGAATTACAGTAATGCCATGGATCTGCCTTAACATCCTGAAGAAAGAAATCCTAGTAAAGAGGGGGAACACACAGAGAAAAACACAGATACATGCTGCAGCTGGGTGTGGTATGTGCAGTGCTCACTCTCCTTGTCTCTCTCCTATTGAGTGTTTGAATTTTCCATGACACCTACCCAGAGGGAATTTTCTTTTTAAAAAAGAGAAGTTAAAGAGTTGATCTACTTCAAACAAAATAGATTATCATAATTTACATATATTGGTATGGTTAGAAAATCTAACAAAATTAATTTGTTAAAATATTAAAAATAATTGGAAGGGTTATCAGCTGGTGAGATTTAAAAAAATCAGTTCTAAAACTCATCCCAATTGTAGTCATAAACCACTGAAAAATGTAATTTTTATAGATGCCTATTACCAAGATGGGCTGGGTCTTCTGTGTGGTGGGAGAAGCCCCTGACCCACTTATATCAGTCAGCCCTCTGGGCCCCTCAGTGGCTCTGCTCAGGGCTGAATCAGAAAGTCTATCCAACCAGGCACGGTGGCTCGCTCTGTAACCCCAGAACTCTAGGAATCTGAGGCAGGAAGATCACAAGTTAAAATCAAACCTGGGCAACATAGTGACTTAGCAAGACTCTTTGCGGGATGTAGCTCCATGTGAAGGCCCTGGTTTAATCCTCAGCACCACCAAAAAATAAAACATCCCTCCTGAACAATATCATCAGCTTCTGCCTCCCTTCTTTCACCACCAAACCTGGCAACATGCCCACACCTATGGGCAGGCTGACGGACACACCCATAGTAGGAATCCAGGCTGATCACCTGCTGAGCTGGGCCTTCTCTCTGGAGACACTGTCCGAAGAGCTGGTAATTGGTCTGAGGCCCCAACATTCTCCCTACAGTGGCTCAGTCTTCCAGAAATTGCTCTGTTCTAGAAGGTACCCTGGTGCTACCTGTGGGGAGTGAAGGGTGCCTGTCTGTCCTAGGGCTGAGTCAGAACAGAGGCTGACGGACAAGCATCTCAACTTCTCACAAACACCACTTGCTTGCAGTGGATGAGTTTCTAATTTCTACACATTGTGAATCTGATTGAGATCTCACCTGGGTACCTGGGAGTCTGGGTGGGGGGAGTAGATGGGAGTGAGGGAGAGAGAATTTCAGCACAGCACAAAGTTGTCTGTTTTCTGGCATTATACCACGATCGGATGAAAACACTAGGGGGTGGGGGTGGGGAACAGCTTCTGAGGAGCCCCAAGTGCAGGCTACAGCAAGAGGAGACTGTGGTGAGGAGACCAAGGCATTAGAGGACAGGTTGCTCTGGGTGGTTTGCCAAGCTGGGAACTGAGCTCAGAGCCGGGCCACCCACTGTGGGTGGGGCATGAGATTACCAGGGATACAGATACCCCAGAGGCTTGTCACTAAAGGGAGAACATAGAGGTGGAAAGGATGCAGCCTACTGTGACACCTCTATCCAACGCCCAGTGCTTTCCCTCAGTCCTTGGCTTTCTTTCCTTCTCTTTCCTGCCTTCCACTCACTTCTCCCTCCAGCCAGCCTGGCCAGGCAGTGCCTGAGGACCTTGGACAGGCTCAGGGGATAGGAGGGACTTTGTGGCAGTTCAGCTGGGGCTGGGCTCCTGCTGAGGACTGAAAAAGGCTAGTGTGTGTGTGGGGGGTGAGTTTGCCCCCAGCTGCCCATTAGCAAACCCAGGGAAATGGCCCTTCAAATCCAATTTGGCTTCTGAATAGAAGAGCCATGTGAATGTTGCCAGCATAATCAAGAGTCCATCTTGAACCAGATGACCAGGGTTGGATCCAGCTTTGCCTCTGACCACTTGGCAGCCTTAGAAATCACAAACTCCCTCTGTGGATGTGCCTTTGACCACCACTGCACTCCAGGAAGGGCCTTCTATGGGACAGACAGACAGCAAGGCTAGAGTTGCTAACAGAAATGCTAAGCTGTATGTGTCAGGCAAATGTGATAGCCACTGCACTACGGAAACAGCCTATAAGCAGTATGTGTAGGGCAGGTGATGTCTTCATTCAGTGAAGTGAAGGCTGAGGGTGGTGCCTAGCTCACTCTTCACTAGCCTATGGCTAATATTCCCTGTGCAGCTTCCACAGGGATTCATTTGCTTTACACTCCTGCGGATCCACCCCTCCAGTCTGGATCCTCCTGTCTTTCTCCCCACTGGCCTCTAGGGGGCCACCAAAACAGCATGGAGCCATTGGAGGCGAACAAAACCCACCCCTAAGAAGGTTCTGGGGTGAATTGGATTTGGTTTTCCCAGAATGCAAGAGAAGCTGTGTCCTCAGCCTAGGCCTGACCCTTGGGGATTGTGAATGACCTTTTTCTGCATTCCAGCAGGTAGCCACTAGCTCCTGGATTACATCTTCTAGGAACTGGGCTCTCATGGTGCTTCCCTCCTGCCTGCAGGCTTTGTGGAGGCCTGCTTACCACACCCCACAGATTCAAGTCCTTCCCAATTGCTGTTGACATCCAAAGGGCCAGACCCTGCTAAAAGAGTCTCTGGAAACAGAAACGGAAAACTATGCAGGCATCAGATGCCTCTAGACTGACTTTAGTGTAATTAAAACGCTACAGCCCTAACTCTCCATAACCACCTGTGTGTGCCACAGACTAGGAGAGTAACAGCCCAACTCCTCCAGCACAGCTCCTAAGTCTCTGGAAACCCGTAGGACCCCCACCTTCCCACATATGTATTCATTTGAAAAGGTGCTTTTGGTAGCTGCACTCAGACCTTTACTCCAGAAGCATTTTCTCCCTCTGGGATTGTCAGTTGAAGTGGAGGTTTCCAAACGTAAATGTAGCCAAGAAACTGTTGGGCAGCCACCATGTGGCCAGTCACACCCCACAATTGGCCTTGAGGTCATGGCTCAGAAAGTCATGTCCATAGATGTGATATGTAAATGTACCAATTCCCCAGGATGAATGTAATGGTTACCAATAAAAAGATCAAAACCAAAGTCATGTCCACATCCAGCCCACAGGGAGGGAAACTATGACTACAAATACAGGTGTCTCTTCAGGCTTTGCCCAGGCCTGCAATCCTATCCAACAGTCTCCTCCATTCTGAGGCCACCAAGAGTGGTTGGGTGCACAGCAGTGTTGGATTAGAGTCTGGAAAGCAGTTTGCTAGGAAATCAGGTTGTACCTCTTTGATTTGTGGGCTGGAACTGGCTATTTGATGAAGTTACCTGAGGTGTCCTAAGGAGGGGTGCTCCTTCCTCTGGCCAGTGCACCCTGAGGTTCCCTGCGAGCGGGACAGCCCCACCTGTCTTTGCCTCTCACCTTCAAGGCCAGCTCCTCCGGGACCTGCTCCGGAAGTGCCAGCTGCAGGTCGGCACATCGAAGGCAGTCACTTGGTGGATCTTACCGCAATTCATTTTAATTATGTGTGACATAAAAAGACCACCTACAGATGAGACAATGCTGCCGTAAGAGTCTCAAGGTTACTATAGGGAATACTTCATAACGGAAGTATGTTTTCCCGAAGGAGTTATACCACCATTTGATTTAATTTTTAATTTTTACATTTTAATCAAAAATAGATCAAATGGTGGTGGTCTCTCCAGGGAAACATACTTCAGATAGGAAGCGGCCATGCTCCTTTTAAATATGTAAAGCTGCCATCTCCCTGTGAGTCACGATGGCAGTGGTGCTGCTGCTAGCCACCCCCTGCTGTAGCTGGGCGGGTGGTTTTGAGGAGTTGAGACCTGCGGCAGCCGTGCGGCAGCTGTACCTGCTGTAGGCCTTCTAACCTGCTGCACACAGTCAACAGGAGGTTCAGTCTGTCAGTGCAGCTGCACAGTGCCTGGGGCCAGTTACATCTCCCAGAAGGGAGTCCTTTCCCTCCTAGGCAGGGTGGGGAGCTGGGCAGCATGAATTTCCCTCTGGAGTATGTGTGCACTCCCTAGTATACTCGTTCTTTATTGCCCTGTGTTCTAATTGACAGACAATACACATAGTGGCAAGGAAAGGTACACATGTTTGATTTGTCCAGGTGCCTACAGGAAACAGATGCGTTTTCCATCCACCAGGCTCACTTGGCTGTCACACCACGGCCCTGAGGTTGGCCTAGATTTTTGCTGATGCCCAGGTGGGTTCTGAGAGCAGCCACTTACACCATTGTGACCCTCGAGGACACAGTGTACCTTCTGCAGTGTTCTCATCCTGAAGTAGGGATAAGACCAGAAGGGACCCCATCACATGGTAGTGAGAATGAAGTGTTCCTAGTGTGAAGTACTGCAGGAGGGCCAGCTACACACAGAAGGAAGTGCCATTTTGTTCACATTGTTGCCATTGCATGGGAAATAAGGTAGTCCATTGCCTTGCTCTCTCATCCTGAGCATTGCAGTGGGTCATCAGGGGGTCTGTGCAATTCATGGAGAAGGGTGGGTGCTTGATGGGGAAGCAGCTGGTCCACAGGCAGGCCTGGGACCTCCAGAAGCCCATTTCCCTGTTAATGTCCCACAGCTCTCAACTTGCAGCCTCTTTCTTCACTAGGCAGCCAAGGGCCCTGCACTACAGACCTTCAAGACCTGATTACAGAGGTAGACAGATCCTGACAAAGCTGGTGGAATCAGATGGCAGGGAATGAGGAAGATCAGTGATACCCGTAAGACTCACCCCTTGAGATACTTTCATGTACTTACCTGCTTACATGCAGCCTTGGCCTCTAGGGCTGTACAGAGGCCCAAGCCAACCATGTTCACCCATCTCCATATTCCACCAGTGTTGTTCACCCAAAGAGCCACTCCAAGGGTTTTCTCTTAACATAGCAGTCCAGAAAAATGGCATGTTTCTCCCAGAGAATACGTGTGGTTCCTTTTTACAGGCCATTGAGTTACACGTCAGACCATTTCTGTTTGTGTCTTGGAAGCCCAGAGTTAAATCCAGTGCATAGTCTGCCAGCCTAGGTTTTGCCCCAGTTATCTTCCTCCTTCAATAAACGTTTGTAGTATTTCCTGACTCTGCCTCTCTGGCTCGTCACAGATATGGTTTGATGTCAGCTGGCCTGTGCCCTGGAGATCTAAGACCAGGCAAAATATGGCCTGGCCTGTTTCTTTCTGGCTCCACCTGCCATTGCCAAGGATAGAGATGGTATCTGGACATCCTGCATGCTGGCCATATGTGGGTGGACAGATCAGTTGGGAGAAGGTGCCCCTTCTCCCTAGGCTCAGCACCCTCCAGCACCACCACCTCCACCCCAGCATTACCTTGGTTGTGGCTTGGCTGGACATACCACAGATGACCCCTTCCATTTGCTCT